AACCTCTATCATTCAGCAGGAAAACAATAGATGGGTTGACTCTTCAAACCAAAATCCCACAGAAGGATCCTGTGGGATCCTGTTTCCGTTCATCTCAACAGTTTAGAGGGTCGGATGGACTTTCCTGATACAAGACAGAAATGTGTGGCGTTGCTTGGGATAGTTTTCTAATTAAAATCGTTTGCACATACAAAACGTTCCAATAAAACAATTCTAGTTTCCTCCATTTTCTTTCAGTGAGCATGACTTCGAATTGGAAATAAAGTGGAGTATTAGCAAGTTAATTCTCACAATGAGCAAAAGCTCCTCAACTCCTATAGAGATACAAAATATATTTTTGGTAATAACGTGATTTCCAACATTAGTTATGTTAGCTACTCATTTTATGTGTATGCTAATATGAACATTTGGAAATTGCCGAGTAATAGCTGTTAAAATTTTCAAAAGATTGTGTTTTGAGTACTCCAATCTTCTAAAATAAGTTGTAGCATGAGTTACATTTTTAGCTAAGCTAATTTATGTCACACACATATAAACACTGATATTGCTGATTGATTTCTTTTCCCAACCATTTGTGTTAAAAAAGTAAACCAAGATCTTTCACTGAAGACAAAATTAACTTGTGCAAATTTCATGAATTACAGAATTAGCTAGGTTAGCTAAGCTAACTCTATGCTTAACATGGAAACACTTTGACATTGCTCAAAAATCTCAGTCCATAATAAATACATTTTTGTTAAAACAGAAAGAAAACCAACCAACCAACCAGCTTAAAGCAGCTTATCAGGAGGAATATGGCAGTAACTCAAGCAGCACTCCAAGAGAAAAAGACTAAAACAGTTACAAAAACTGAGGTGCTTTACAAAGCAAAAAGAAACAAATATGTTCACTTTATTATGACCAAAGAACGCTGTCAAGAACAAACATTTTGTTCTGCTGCCACTAGATGGCATCAAATTCAGACAAACAAGTGGTTTAGGGATTAAAAACCCATTTTCCGATCTAAATATAGGAAACAGGCATCTGAAAATATGATTTTCTCATTGAGGTTAAAGTTGAGAATCACAAATACAGCGGTGTTAATTATGCGCTGCAGTCTTGAGATTTACTAAAATAAACACTACATGGGAACTGCTTCACAAAGCATTTCCACTTTAATTAACTTCATTTTACTTTCTGTAATTAATCCCACACAGTGGCAAAAAAAACAAATACGATCTCTGAATCCTCTACACAGAGCTGTGAATGAGGTCAAACAGTTTGCTAATGCCGGATCTCCTCTTTTCTTACCAGAGTGACTCAGTCATTCCAACTCGCCTTCAGTCAATCATCAATTTATATTTCCACTTTCCTCTCAGCAAATCTTTCCTTTTTCACTTTTAGTGCTTCTTGTTTTAAAGAAAAGCTGCTAAACCTGAAACAGAAGCGATTCTACTCTGTGTACGTTTCTTGAGTCAAAGGTTAAGGTTTCAGATTCTTCCATTGTCATTTCCTTTGCTTGTACATTTTTTTGTTCGTAAACATGAGTTCAGTTTCTCTGGTAACTCTCAGAAATGTACAAAAAGCAATAATCAATTTACAGAAACTAAAACATAAATGACAACATCAACATCATAAATCTCACAGGATCAGATTCATGATTAGATTAAGCAAAAACGCTACTCATCGTACAATTCAGTCCTTTTCTATTCACACATCATTTACTCTGGTATTTTGTATTTAATTCCTCAATTTGATAGAATTTGTTTGTTCGTATTTTTCTTTTTCTTCTGTTCATTTTTTATGCATCGGCTCAAATGGAACAAAATTACCGTATTTTCCGCACTATGGGGCAGTGAATGGTCTATTTTCAATCTTTTATTTATATATATACGTATCTATATGAAGCAAAACAAGCTACAAGGTGGACTAAGTACAACAAAACAGATTAAGTGAGTCAGACAAAGTACGGAGCATTTTACTCTGCAAAAGGCAAAAAGGAACAATATACAAGGGACTGTTGTTTTTGACTTTTAGTCTGGAAACTACGGTAAGATTTTGGAGAAATTTGATCAAATGCTAAATAGTAAATGATTGATGGGAGTTTTTATTAACAAATGATTCAATATCATCCAAATATCCCAGTTTGGGTCTCATCTGACCAGGTCTTCTCCAAGTATTTCACTGGATAAATGTCTGAATATTCTGCAGAAAACCTTTAGCAAGCTTTAGCAATCAGTCACTTCAGCAGTGGAGTCTTTCGTAGTGAACAGGCACAGAAATTAGCCTTCGTTATAAGCTGCTTTTAGTGAAAAAGAAACTCTTACCAAGGTCAAATTATGTGACAAATTTTTAAATTTCAGAAATGTTCTAAAATGATGTCATGTCAGTCTAGAAATATGCCTTAAATTTACTGGGAATATCATAACAAATGAGAATCAAAATCAGTTTAAATAAGTGTGAATATGGCAAACTACACTATGACCTACATTTAAACTATTCACATCCACAAATTTAGACAAATATTTTGTTCAGTTTCTCCTTCTGATATGTTCTTTTACTTAAAATCACACTTACAAGTAACTTTTCAGTAAGACATAGCAGCTTGTTTAGAGTGAATTAATAATGATGGAAAAACACATGTTTCACTGGCACTTATAACAAGACTTTTTCCCCATAATATAAATTAAATAATTTTTTCATAAAAATCAAGGAATTAACTTCCTATTTCTTGCTGAAAAATTACTTGTAAGTTGGTTTTCTCTCATATCAAGCGAAGAAAGATATTTGCAGAAGAAACTAGACCAAAATATTGTGTTTTTGTGGTGTATTTATGATATGAATCATGCACTCTGCAGAAAAACAGAAAAACCTTCATTTAAAGACAAAATTGTCAACTAAAATCTTGTTCGCATTAGCTTTTATGTGATACTCTCTGCCAGAGGGAACTGGTAAACATCAGTCCTTTACATCTGGTCTGTGATTACAGTATTTATCTGCAAACGCATATAAACAGGTAGAGGTTAAAAAAAGCTGCCCGGTTCGTTTTTCCTCACATTGCCTCTCCGCTCGGCTGAGGAAGATGTGCCTGTTCCTCTCTAACCCTTTATCTTTATTGTGCAGTTTGCAGAAACCCCCCTGACGGACCTCGTCCACACCTAAGGCCATACATGAGTGGACAGCTGAAGAAAAGAGGGAATTTTTAATCCAATATTACCAGCACGGTGGCACTGCAGTGGAAAATTACTGTTTTTTGCATGAGGGAGATCAAAGTCATTGGCCGTATTCTGCCTTTGGTGCTTGGGATTAAAGTTCCCCTCTTTGCATGGGCTCCTGATCGCATGCCAACATCAAAGCAGCGCGCACAAGCATCTGCTCTATCAGAGGAAGTGATTTGTCAACACACTCTTACCAAGGTACGTCCCTAAAAACAAGGAAGTTGGGTGGGAGAAGCGGAATAAACCGCGAGATAAGAAAAAATAAACTTTCTAGAAGTTGGCAGGCGGCATCTCTGAAGGCTTAGCCAAGATCCAGTTGGCAGCGGAGAGCCTCTGCAGAACACAGATGGATTAGAAAGCGACAGTCCGAACCATGCTAGCAGCCGTCAGAATGACAGATGTGTCGCTAAGGCCCAACACATGCTTTATGAAGGTCTCGGATTAGCCAGAAGTCTCCGGAGCAGAAGGAACCGCCTGCATGTGTGTGTTCGCTTCACAAGATTTCATCTCATACTTTTAGTTTAGCAAGGCTTGAATGGAAAAAATCATTCAAACTCAATTGAAATGGTGAATTTTTGCTTCATTTTAAGCAAATTTCTCATTTACCCAAATATACGACAGCACGGACCCCAGCTTCATAAATTTAAACATCTATTTACGGGCAATTTAATGTAATATTTGCATCAACTTTACAGTTTTCCATTAAAGAAAAGTGAGACAGGTGATGAGGAAGCTGGGAAAGGAGCTTTAAAAGGAAGAAGTCATTAATTCAGATGAGTTGAGAGGTGAAATGAGTTTTTCTGTCCTGACATATGAAGCTGCTCATCTGTGTGTGCAAGCAGAGCAGTTTTAGAGAAAAAATAATGACTTTAAAACCATTTCGAACTCCAGAAATGGCAAATGGGCACAAAAAACACTGACGGTGAGGAAAATGAGAGCAGACAAACAATGAAAACGGTGCGTTGTTGTTGGTGGGCTTCCAGAACCGCGGGGATTTTGGCCAATGTGATGAAAAGCAGAACATGTGGATCTGCCAACTGTGACCTGCCGGGTTTAGCATCATTCATTAGCCGTGTCCTTTCTCATTAACCGACATCTGTATCTTAATTAGGCAGGAAAGACAGGAAGAGGCGCAGGTGGCGTTTTCCATCAACCTGAGCTGCTGCCACGCAGTTTCATCGCCATGTAAGCTATAAATTACAGATTTTACTGGACAGTAAATTGTCCCAAAAGTTATTGCGATACACGATAATATTGTTGGAGGTACAGAGGGTGAAGACAGGTGCTTGTTTGTCCAATTTCTGTCCTCTTTTTGTTCATTTAGAAAACCAACAGGTTTGTGACTTTGACATTTTTTGACTCTGCACAGGTGTGTTCATGTATCACAATCAGATTATTGCTAGATTATCACAAAGAGTATAAAGATGTTTTTAAAAACTTAAAACATATTTATAGACAAAAAATATTTGCATTGTTTCATTTTATATAAAAAATGTGTATAATTTTAGTATTTGTTTTGGCTGGTTTACTCCTTTGAGTCCAAATATAATTAATTACTAACTGAATAAGTTGATTAATATTAATTATTTTAATAATTTGTTAATTTAATTAATGGTTTTAGCTCTAGATGGGTGCATTTTTGAACATTGTTGATATATTGCTCAGACTGATTCTTTTGCAAAAAGCAATAAGTCTGTTAATCGAATAATAATTTCCATTTGCGTGATTGTATTGTTTTTTTTCTTCTCTTTCTACCAAAAACCGGATGATAAAAGTCTTTAGGCTCAACCTTTTATGCATTACCTGAAATCTTGCTGCTTTGCAAACCTCAACGCTGAATGATGTCGATGGTGAGGAAATGCCACTTTGGTCGTCTCCGAGCCATCAGTCCTGGTGGATCCTCCTCTTCCTCCTCTTCCTCCTGCACCGCTCTATCGACGTTCAGTCATCCTGACAGATGCTTCAGTCACCTGGGATTAAAAATGAGGCTGATGTGACAAATCGCCTCCTTTGTACTGTTTTCAAAATGACCCAACAAATTGTAAACGGGAAGAAAACCGCACTAAAATTTACTGTAAATTGAAAGCAGCTGAGGAGATTTTTATGTTATTTAGCTTTCGGGTCGAGGTTAATTCCTCCAGAACGGATCAACTTGACTTATGATGTTCTACTCAAGGGACTTCTTTTTGGATCGTCCTGTTGTTCTTCAATGAGCATGTAAATTCACTTTTTGTGTTTAAAAGTGGCCGAGACCTTTACCGCTCGTTACTTTTGCACTTTCTATCTCTTTTTACTGTGAGCCGTCTAATAAAGCGGCATCAGCGTGATAATAGTCTTTGCAGAGATATTTAGTCTGAACTGCCCTTGGTGAGATATTCCAGCAAACTTCCTGGAAACGGCTTTTAAAAGATACGCTGTGCTTAAGCTTTTAGACGAAAAAAGAAAAGGTGTCCATGCCCTTTGAAAAGCATTCACTGCAATATAAGGGAACATTACCTGCTAGGTAAAAAAGGAGGACAAATACCCGTCATGCAGGTGAATACAATTATTACAAAGTGAGGAACATTTCTGAGCAAGACCAAAAAGCTGAGCTGCGTTATTATTTTATGAAATACCAGAAAGATGAACGTAGTATTTAGAAATTCAAGGTAGATTTTGTGCCTCCTTATTCAAATATAATATAAAATGACTGAGTTTTCCTCTGAAACAGGAGAAACTATTTCTCTTTAAAAGGTTTTGATGCCATTCAATTTCAAATAAACAAACTGGGGAGGAAAAATGAGAAACACTTTTTGCAGTGTTTTGGTACTGCTGGAGAAGTTTTTCTGTTTCCCTTAAACAGCTGATAAACCGTCGCTACAGGAATTTAAATCAGCAGCGATTCTTGCGTCAGTAGTGAGAATCCAAAAGCAGGAAATGCTCACTTCTGGAAAATGCCTCAAAAATATCCGAGTCTACATTATTTCCACATAAAAGCCGTAAAACACTTGCTACAAAATATATTTGATATCCTGCTTGTGCATCCACCTTTCTGCCCATTTCAAAAATTGCTACTTCAGTTGTTTGTGGCATCAAAAGTCAAATTACGGTGTCCCAGAAGGCTTAAGTAAATGCAAAAGCCACAACACAACAAGAAAACGTTACAAAGCAACAACAAAGAGTCAAGTTATGTCAGCACGTTTCATAACTTGGACTGATGCGTTTTGTTGTGAGGATTATTTGTGATTTTGTGTTGTTTTCTTGTTTGTGTTGGTTTGTTGATTCCTTTCTTAGCCTCAGTAATTAGCAGCTTTACCAGTTCAAAAAATAAATTGGTACCGACAACAACATCTTCTGTGTAAGATTTCAGGAAAATATGTACTTATTCTCAACAAAAACACAAATTAAAGAAATTAACGTTGGTCTCTAAAGGCTGAAGACCTTTTAAACACTGAATGCAGCTGATTTAGATGAAACAGAATATCTTTATGTCACCACATAAAACCTTGACTGCCTTTTCAAACTATAAAACTGCTTGCATCAATTTTGTACACAGAATGTACCACAGGCTTACAGAAAACAGAAAACATATTTGGCTGTATTTTTTTCCATTTGCAGAAATAAACTCCCAGAAAACTTGTGATGGGCAGATTTCTGGCAGCAGCAACATGTTGCATCAGTTTACAGACTGGAGAGTAATAGACCTGTGTGTCATTAAACAGCCCATTGAACTGGCTAATAATATGACTTACATGATGGAGGCCAAACACTGAATGCCAGTTAGCTTCTCATTCAGTCTCTTTCAGAGTTTGTTGGCAGACGTTGGCTCTTCTGACTGAAAAATACTGCCAGGATAAATTATTACACTGTTCTCTAACCTCCTGGTCTCCGATGACCAGATGTCTTCAGAAGAACCATGAGCTGCAGGTCGGCGAGACACCTTGGTGTGAATAACGCATAGAATGACTCGGCGTTTTTCCTCGGGCATATTGTGTAAAAATTTAAAACCAAACGTCAGCGACGAGTTTGGAAGCAGCCGCAGCTCATGATTGTTTTAGTTAGATTATTGACGAATTGACAGATTTTTAATGATTTGAAAGCAGAAATAAACAAATAATTCAATTCCTTTTTTAAATAAAATAAACAAGAATTAGTAAAGTAGATTTCTTTAAAAAATCTACATGAGGCCTCTTGATGAAACCATATTTACAGACAAGACTAAAATTATAACAAGGTCAAAAACTTCATCAAAGAAATCAGAAGAAAAACTTTTCAGTAGCTAATGGATATAACCAAGCTTGTGTATGAACAAGAGGTCTCACTTCAATAGAAATCTTTCATTGAATTCAAACTGTGGTTCAGGACAAATTTAAAGTTATTTTGTGAAGATTTCAATCAGTAAACTTGTGATTCACAGCCACAAACTAATCCAACTGACTGAAGTTAGTTTTTGAAATGCAGATAAGAAATCGGATGCTAAGCTGATAAGGAAAAGTGATTTATTTCCTGTGAATACTTTTATAGTATTTATTAATGGTTTTCTAACCTGGAGTTCAAATCCAAAAGCAGATGATTAGAAAATAAAATGTTTTCCTCGAATGGATATAAAAAAACATTTTTAACAGAAATAAATTCAGTGGGTGCGTTTAGCTCTTCCTGATGCGCTGAAGCTGCCAAATGTTTTAAATATTTACCAACAGGATTTATTTTCGTCACATTTTACAGACCATCTGGTGTCGCGCACAAACTGGACAAACTGGGGAGCAACTTTACACCAACTGTCACTTAAAATACAGGAAACTATAACTGACTGAGTGGTGATAATTAGCACTCTCTACTACAACATATGGACAGAAATATAGGTATGAAAATAAACGCACTGCATTTGCACAAAAGGTCAAAGTATATTTAGATAAGTGATTAATCACACAAAATGAACATGTTGTCTCTGTGGAAAATATTAGATGTATGCGATTTCTCATTTAAATAAAATACTTTGAGGATTATTAATAAGCACAGACTAGAAGCAACACTTTATGTTTGGACTCTTTAAAGTTTTGTGCTTATTTTTATGATAACTATTTCTCAGGCTTTTAATGTCTATTCCTGAAGATAAAATCAGAATGCATTAACAATAAATTTGTTTCTCAGGACATAAATTATATACAAATACACAATAAATGAAATCAATCTCCACAACTTTCACTTTGCATAATATTTTCCAAAGGTAAATTTTTGTGTACAGAAACTTCAAAATCAATTTTATTTGTGATTTTAGTTGCAAGTGGTTTTTATTTCTGTTTTATTGATTGTTTTTGGCTTTATTTTGTATATTCAAAGTATCTTGCAAACTTTCTTTACTATCCTTTTACCAATATATTATTTGAAAATAGTTTCAAAATATTTATGTTTAGTGCAATAATTATTGGGGCAATTTAACATCCTGCAAAAGCTGTAACCATGACAGAACTATGAATACAAACTCAGCAAACATCTGGTATATTTACAGCTGAATATTTGATCAAATCAGGGGATTTGAGATCTTGTTGCCTACTTCCTGTTGCCAAACAGGTACTATTAATTCATTTCTAGATATTTAAGATCTGGGATTGATCAATCAAGTTTATTAATAAAGCACATTTCAGCTTTAAAGTCACAAAAACATTATGAAACAAGATTTAGTCACATACTTTGATCGATGCTCTATTTATTACCAAGTTAACTACGATTTAAACAAACTCAGTGTTTTAAACATAGAAGCTGAACATATCATTTTAGATACTTTTATTTCCTAAATAAATGAAATCAATTTAAAAGTGCTTTTTTTGGTTGTTTTCTTTGTTGAAATAATAATGGGATGATAATAAAAACAGACGGCGTTTTCTGCAGCGTTTGTTGATAACAGTGAAATGGACTCTAGAAGGTCAGTGAGCTTTGCCAGCACTTTGTGGCTGGAGGAGGAAACGGAGAGGAAATGGAGAGGAAATGGAGAGGAAATGGAGGATCCTCCTGCCGGCCCGTCTGACCCAGTGAGATTAGCAGCAGTGGAATGGCGTCGTCCATTTCTCTAATAAGACAGAAAGGCTACGACCCAAACCAACAACAAACACAAGAAAAGCCTTTTTATCAAACACTCACAAACCTCCTAACTAGAAATGTCCTCACAATGACACAACCGGAAATAATAATATTAGTCTCTTAATTATTGTCGACTTCTTTGCTCATTCTGATGAGAAAGGTGGCACTGATTAGTAAATGTGAAAACCATGAACACGTTTACTCTGCGTTTTGAGTTATTTACAGATTCGTATTCCAATGATGTGAAACAATCAAAAAAGAATATTTTGTTCTTTACTCGATTTGTAATTTAGAAGCACAATAAGAGAAAAATAAACTTGAGCAGAAATAAAAATCCTCTTCTGCGCCACTAGATAAAAATAATCCACCAATTTCTATCAACTATAATTTTCTGTTTTTTTAAATGAATTTAATTGAATAATTTTTAATTAAATAAAAATAACAATAACTGCTGATGTAGCAGAGGGTTATAAGCAAACAACGTTCTAAAAACAAACCAACTGAGACTCGTTTGTGACATTGAGCTGTTCAAAAGAATCACATTGTTCATGTTGCGGATCACTAGGGGCGCCTCTGGGAACCACACTGTTTGTCTTGGCTTCAAATCCCGGCATCCTAAGACCTAAATGCCCCTGCTGATCCCTGATGGGGGGTAAATTGCTTGCCATCGGGGCGCTGGCTGACTTTGTTGGTACAACAGCGCAGATGATTTCTTGTTGCATATTTGGCTCATTTGCAAAGCGATGGAGAGCGATCAGAGATGCAGAAGTGCCTGCACTGGAAGGGAAAACACGAGTGCACTTCGACTGGAGCCTGAACAAGAGACGCTCCCTCAGTAGTGGAAAAAAGAGGCAAATCTGCCAATTCAATTGGTGAATGGAGAAAGGAGTAACCTCCAGTCATGTATTCAGTG